TGGGTAATTTCTCCTGTTGACCCTCTAAATTGTGTCATCGAGCGAGCAATCGTGTTCATTTTATCAAAAAATTCCCCTTTTTTTCTATATTCATATTGTTTCAAATCCATTGGTCTGCGAGTTTGTGAAAGGAATGTGAAGCTTTCGTTTCTCTGATTGTTTCGTTTCCGATTGTTTCAGAATCGCTCGAAAGTTCGATTCTTTTTGGGTAGATTGTTCTGGGTTTCGCTCAAAATAGGGATTTGATTAAGGAAGAAGACGAAGAAAAAAGAGGGATTTTTGGCTTTGGGTGATCTGGAAAAAATCAGGGATTTCTCTCGATTTCAGGTTCGTGATTTGATTTAATTTATAAAGGTTGATCTAGGATTTGGGTTTGTCGTGATTTTGTATGGTTTTTTGCCTTTTTTTTTTTTTCTCAGATGTTGTTAAAGATGGATTTGAGAATCTGAATTCTGGTGTTGAGAAAATGTGGAAACAGATTCTAAGTAAGCTTCCTAAAAAGTCTTCTAAGCACGAACATCGTGGGCGTGAACACGGTGGTGGTGGCCACCATTCTTCATCTCATGCTTCCAGTGCTTCTACTTCAAAAGGCAGTGATAATGGCGGTGGGAAATCGGGGAATTCACAGACTAAGAACCCTTTCGTAGGCGGGAAATCCGCTGCTGCGGCTTCTGACTCGGGTTTTAAAGATGGGAATCTAAAGAACAGTGGGAACAATAATGGGGTCTTCACTCCTTATGAAGCATTGCCGAGTTTTAAAGATGTTCCAAACACGGAGAAACAGAACTTGTTCATTAAAAAGTTGAATTTGTGTCGTGTAGTGTTTGATTTCACGGATCCTACGAAGAACATCAAGGAAAAAGAGATTAAGAGACAGACATTGTTGGAGCTTGTGGACTATGTGACTTCTGCCAGTGGGAAGTTTAGCGAAGTGGGTATTCAAGAAGTCGTTCGGATGGTCTCTGCTAATATATTCAGAACACTAAATCCTCAACCACGTGAAAATAAAGTTATTGATGCCTTAGATCTGGAGGAGGAAGAGCCTTCGATGGATCTTGCGTGGCCTCATTTGCAGCTTGTGTACGAGCTTTTCTTGAGGTTTGTTGCTTCCCCTGAGACTGACACCAAGTTGGCGAAGAGATACATAGACCAATCTTTTGTACTACGGTTACTGGATTTATTTGATTCTGAGGATCCTAGAGAAAGAGATTGTCTGAAAACCATTCTCCATCGGATCTATGGTAAATTTATGGTTCACCGTCCCTTCATCAGGAAATCCATAAATAATATCTTCTATCGGTTTGTTTTTGAGACAGAGAAACATAACGGGATTGCTGAGTTTCTAGAAATCTTGGGAAGTATCATCAATGGATTTGCTCTTCCCTTAAAAGACGAGCACAAAGTGTTTCTCGTCCGAGTTTTGATACCTCTCCACAAACCGAAATGCTTGCAAATGTATCATCAGCAATTGTCTTATTGTATTACCCAGTTTGTGGAAAAGGATTGCAAACTTGCTGACACGGTTATAAGAGGATTGTTGAAATACTGGCCCGTGACAAATAGTTCCAAAGAAGTCATGTTTCTGAACGAGTTGGAGGAAGTACTCGAAGCAACCCAGCCACCAGAATTCCAACGGTGCATGGTACCACTGTTTCGCCAAATAGCTAGATGTTTGAACAGTCTGCATTTTCAGGTACCTATAAATTCTCCATTCTTTCTCTAATTATAGTATTTTACATCTGATCTCAAACGTAATATCCTGTTGTTTTCACATTTCCTGAAAAAATGCTCTGCTGCTGTGTCTCTCATTCGCTAGGCCATATCGTTTGATGAAGTAACTGTTTTAGCATTTTGCCTGTGTATATATGTTACCAGCTACTTGAAATCATTATAGCTTAACTGACTCTGCGGGGATGAAAAGTAACCAATGGATATGACAGTTGTATTCAGCTCTGGATGATACTCGAGACAGTTTCTTAGATGAATTGATACAAATGCTATTGCTGAATAGAAAGTGAAAATGTAAAAAGTATTTTGGATTCGTTTTGGCTAAACAGTTACTGCATATGATCTTACTCGGGAAAAAGCTTGTTCATTTCATAGGTTCAGGATCTAGTGAGTTGTGAACCAAAGCTTCAATCTTTGTTTCAGTTTATTACATGCATCTGTCTGTTTTTTTTGCAGGTTGCAGAGAGAGCTTTATTCTTATGGAACAACAATCACATTGAGAATCTGATAATGCAGAACCGTAAAGTTATCCTTCCAATTATATTCCCTGCGTTGGAGAGAAACGCGCAGAATCATTGGAACCAAGCTGTTCATAGCTTGACGCTAAACGTGCGAAAGATATTTCACGACCTTGACCCTGAGTTGTTCAAAGAATGCCTTGCTAAGTTCAAGGAAGATGAATCAAAAGTAGCTCAAACCGAAGCAAAACGCGAAGCCACTTGGAAACGTTTGGAAGAACTCGGGGTGCGTAAGGCTTCATAAAGTTAGCACGCACCGTAGAGAAGAGAGAGCTTTTGTGTCTTCGATTGGAATTTGGGGGATGTTCTTCAGAAACGTCTGATATCAATACAGGAGTGTATTGAAGAAAAACGTTTCATATTGGTCTGGTCTCTTCGTTGAAGGAAAGGAAAACTCTCAAGATGTAAGATTGTTGCTCCCATTTTGATTTTCCATTTTGATTATTTTTACTTGTTTCATCTAAATATCCTCTTGTTAATGGGTTTTTTCTTCTTGCTACATTGTCCCATCTCTTGTTCTTCTTTCTTGAGACTGTCTGATTCATTCATCTTCTGCTTTTGATACCTGCAAAAAAATTGCAGATTTAGGGTTTGCCACGCTAAAGAATCAGTTTGTTTGTTGTATTAAATTTTCTTCCCCTTCTTGGATTTTCAGTTGTATAATAATTTCTTCCAAAGGAAAAAAATGGTGACTGAAAAAAGGTTAAAACTAAACATAAATATAATGGGTATAACTAGGTGACCGGCCTTTTAAATAAAATTGGAAAATTGGAAATAAATGACAATTTTTTTTTGGAGTTTGTCTTTTATTTGAAAATTTATATTTATGTCTAAACTATCCTTTTAAATGTAAAAAATTATTTTTTTCCAATATTTTTTTGTGAAACATGTGAAGAACAAATGAATAAAACTTTCTATGAAAGATGCAACTGTTGTTTGTTACGCGATGACTTTATAAAATGTGTTCTACTTTA